AGCCAACCAGGCAAGAGTCCAATGGTCACCAGAGGATGCTACTATGGCCCTTGTCCACACCCTGCCACACTAGAGAAGTAGAATTTTCTCTGCAAATGGCATCCATGGGATTATGGTAGGATACTCCACCCTGGTCTGGCCTATTCACTTCAGAAGCAGTATGAATATCTGGGCAGCATGCAGAGCAACCAGAAAGGAAAGTCTTGAGATCAAGGCTAGACAACTTCCTGTGAGATCTGCTATTCTATAACTCAAACAGAGGTTTGATGAAAATGTTTGTTGAATGACGGTCTTCAACCTGATTCAAGCAGGAGGTCAGAGTAGATGATAAAAATGGTCCTGGGTTTTGTCTTAAATACCCACCCTCTTTCATTTCAATAACCATTGATTCTTATGTTTATTATCTTTCATTCAGGGGGTCTGTCAAACCATTGGGAATAAGCCTGACAACATGTCTGTGAAGTACATATTTCTTATGCCCATTTTTCAGATGGGGAAACTGAGACACAGTTTCAAAGCAAGACTCACCCATAGAAACACTGTGAATCAGTGTCAGAGCTGTGCATTGAACCATGGGGTCTTGTCTTCCAGCTTGGTGCTCTAATCTCCAGTATCCCCTGTCTAACTGGGGAAAGGATTGCAGTTTTAAAACTTACCATGGGGCTACAAGGCAAATCAAAAACTGCCCAAAGATACAAGTTAACCTGCCATTTTGGGGGGATTTTATTGTCATCAGCAGTCTCGATAGGAGGATTACAGTCTTCCAGGAAACAGGAAAGTCAGTGAGAGCCTGTAGATGACAGGAGGCAAATCAGAGATCCATGTGTTTGAATGTAGACGTGGCAAAAATCTCCAGAAAGAATGCGTAGATCCTGGTGCTGCTGGGTCACAGCACTTTCCCTTTGTTTCTCTCATCTGCCCACCTCCAGTGAGGCACATTTCTCAACAATGATTGATGCCTTGTCATACATCATGGTACCACCTGGGATGATTCAGTGCTTGAGCCCCCCCAGGTATTGATGTTAATATTGCATGTCTTCAGATTGACCTTCAAGGCGTCCTTGAATCTCTTCTTCTGCCAACCTGTAGAGAGGTGGCCATCAGGATCTAGTATGCCAAACTCAAAGCTCTGCAGATCAGATTACTTCACAATGCTTAGTGAAAGACAAGCACCCCGTTCTCCTGAGTCCCAGACCAGTCCTTTCACAGCCAGATGACTGTCACCAGAAAGACACGTCTCATTAGCTCTGGGATGGTGGGTTATGAGCATGTGAAATGCACAGACAAGCCCCATAATGGCAAGAGTTTGTTCTTGCTCCATCCCTTTCAGGAGATGCTAGGTGCTCTGTTCCCATACTGCATTGAGAAGACATATCTCCAGGCACCAGATCCAAAAAAAGGGAACACACGGCTCCTCTTCTAAGCTCAGAACAGCTGTGAAGAAACCAGCCCCTGCCTACTCACTCCTGTTCTACACACACACACACACACACACACATCTAGCAATCAGGTAGCAAAAATAAATACCTTAGAGGGTGGATACGTGCCCCAGTGCCACACACAGACTCCCTCTCTCTGCCTCTTGATTTCAAATGGCAGAGCTACTAGTCTCATGAATTTGGTTCTCAAACCATTTGCCAAAAGAGCAACAACGTTAATTTCCAAAATGCCATATGAATAGAGCAAGTGTTGATTAAGCTAATTACTTTATTTTTTTAAAAATGAGCAAAGTATGTTGTTTTAATTAAAATAAACTCAAAGTGCAGGAAAAATGAAAACAAACTAATTAGACTAAAATAAAAATACAGGGTTGCTCGTGTTTCTACCCCTTTTGGTTGACTTCATTGGAGCTACGCTGGGGATCAGTCCCATCATTACCTTTTCATTTCTGTCATCCCTTCTTCTTTTCACTGTGAAACACCTGCCCTGCAAGGTGAAGCTGACACAACATGGCAGTTTCATAGTGTCAAAGCATCTAGTGGAATATTCATAAACTGCCTTTCAGAAATTTGTACTTGTCATTTTGGTGGAAAGATTTTGCTTGGATGGTACAATTATCTATGAGCATTGAGCAACGTACTGAGGAATTCTTGACTTGCGTAAGTACTTGCAAACACAAGCATCCTAGGCAAGCCAACCACGAAATAGTTCAGGTTGCATCTGGGTTTGGTTTGGTTTGGTTTGGTTTGCAAACCTGAGAAAGACTTTTGGGCTAGGGACAGACATTACACATAACTTGGTTTAAAAGATCAGAAACTGGTTTAAACCTGTAACAGAACACAAGTTCAATGCACATAACCCCGTTTCAAAATGGCTGAAACGGGTTTAAGATAAACCTGATTGAATGCAGTGTCAGACTTAACTGATTTTGGGTCAAACCGGTTTATGCAATGTCTGTCCCAGACCTTTATGCCTGAAAGCTTAGCAAGCATTTCTCTCAATGAGAGAGTTGGTCAAATAGGAGCTATTACCAAAGAAATATGACTTCTCTGAAAAAAATTAATGACATTTAAAACAAACTGTAGTTGTCATTTGTTGCATTATCAGATGACACTGCATAGCACAAGACTATGACTCCCCCGCTCAGGTAGGCTGGAATTTGACTATTGCCAGTGTTGTAGGCCATTTGCCAAACAAGTGAACGGAAGCATTTATTTAGGACTGGGGGGTAGTGTTACCCCACAGCAGTTGTTACAATTGCTTAAATTCCCTTTCACAGGTAATTTTATGATTTCTTTTCTCCATGCTGCTTAGGCAAATCCCATCTTCTGTGCTTTTAGCAGCATTTTTAAGTTCTCTCCACTGCTTTGCTTTGAGCAGATGTACAGTTATTTCTTCCTCCTCTGCTGTCTGACAAGTCCTTAGTTTGTTGACAGCTGCTTTAAGTCTTTCAAAAGCAATGCCTTCATAATTAACATAAGTTCTTTCATTATATCTATCTTGTCAAAACTGACAGTTTATTTTAGGTGAAACTTTGTCTGATATGTAAGAAAATGCTCTGGCCTTCTTTTCAGATGGGTCTTCAGAGGTGAGGAGGATGTTTTCAAGTTTGCCTTGTTCTGGTCCACTGTAGCTGTGACCAAAGTCATCTGTGAACCTTTGGGTAGTTTGGTGCAGAGCTCCCATGTGCCCTGTTTGGGGCTTTCCAGCTCCTCTTCCCAGGCCTGTCTATCAATATGTGCTCTTTTGTCTGAACATTTCACTAATTACACTATAACTTACTTTCTCTTTCTTAATCTCTTGCTCATTAGCAGTGAGGAGGTTCATATTTCACTGCTCCCTTCTGGAAGTAGTATCCAATGTGAGCTCCGTCTTCTTTCATAACCTTGGAAAATCCCAATACTTTCTCAGCTGTGTTGACATGTGCATTTCTAATGGTCCTTGAAAACTTTTCTGCATCAAAGATGGAAATCTGTCAAGATAGGAACCATTTTGGAAAGCTGGAGTTCAAACTCCATGATTTCGGAGGCTGTGTGTTTGGAGGAATTGATTTCTCAGCTGATTTTTTGCAAGCAATTTATTTCTTTTGTATGGGTGGCAACCCCTGAGGGCTGGTCACTGCCTGCTTCTGCCCCTCTGTGTGCCCAGCCATTCCTGCAACTTTCTACAGATGCAAAAGTAATCTAGTGGATTGAACGCCGGTTACTCTAGTGTTTCCTAAACTGTGGGGAACTCCACTGGGGGAGGCATAAAAGGTTGCAAGGGAGAGAAGACTAAAAGGTAGAGTATGAATCCTATAAATCCCATTTTTTCACAAAAACATTGAATGAAATTTGGCAGTTTAAGTGGGGGGTTGAAGAGTGGCTGAGATTATTGCAGTGGGGTGTGACCCCCTCAAATGTTGGAAATGCTGGGTTACACCATAGTTATTGGTTATATATGGGGCAGATCCAGGAGGTCCCAAGGGGGCTGTGGGAGCAAGCAACCCGCACTGCAGAGGTGACTGCACCCCCAGCTTCCAACCTGCTCTGCCCATACCAGTGTGGACAGACTTTTTAAAATACCTAAAGCAAGTAAAAAAATCCATGGTTCATAGAATCATAGAAAAGGAGGGTTGGATAGGACCTGAGGAGGTCACATCTAGTCCAACCCCTGCTCCAAGCAGGACCAGCCCCAACTACATCATCCCAGCCAAGGCTTTGTCTACCTAGGACTTAAAAACCTCCAAGGATGGAGATCCCACAACTTCTCTGGGTAACCTGTTCCAGTGTTTTACTACTCTTCTAGTGAGAGAGTTTTTCTTAATATCCAACCTCAACTTCCCTTGCTGCAACTTGAGCCCATTGCTCCTTGTTTTGTCACCTGCCCCCACTGAGAACAGTCCAGCTCTGTCCTCTTTGGACCCCTCCTCAGATAGTTGAAGGCTGCTATTAAATCCCCTCTCAGTCTCCTCTTCTTTAGCCTAGTTCCCTCAGTCTTTTCTCATGAGGCCCCCAGCCCCCTCACCATTTTTGTTGCCCTCTGTTGGACTGTCTCCATTTTTTCCACATCCTTTCTGTACTGGGGGGACCAAAACTGAACACAGGACTCCAGATGTGGCCTCTCCAGTTCTGAACAGCCGGGAATAATCACTTCCCTCAGTCTGCTGACAGTGCTCCTACCAATGCAGTCCAGGATGCCATTAGCTTTCTTGGAAACAAGGGTGCACTGCTGGCTCATATTTATCTTATTGTTCACTGTCACCCCCAGGTCCTTTTCTGCAGAGCTGCTGCCCAGCCTGTCACCCCCAGCCTGCACCGGTGCATGGGATTGTTCCATCCTAAGGGCAGGACTTCGCACTTGTCCTTACTGAACCTCATGAGATTTCTTTTGTTCCAGTCCTCCAATTTGTCTCAATCACTCTGAATCCTAGCCCTACCCTCCAGCATATCTATGACTCCCCCCAGTTTGCTGTCATCTGCAAGCTTGCTGAAGGTGCACTCTCTGCAGTCATCTGGGTCATTGATGAAGACATTGAACAAAACCGGGCCCAGGACTGACCCCTGGGGCACTCCACTTGATACTGGGTGTCAACTAGACATTGAGCCACTGATTACTGCTCTCTGAGCCTGATGCTCCAGCCAGTTTTCTATCTACCTTACAGTGCACCCTCCTTGAAACATTACCATCTTTTGGTCAGCTTAAATCCCTGCTTTTGTCCAGCTGCTTCTGATAACTATGTGACTTCCAGTGGTTTGGCAACTGCCCCATTTCCAGACACTATCAATATGCCAGTGGTAAATTCGCCAGCCCTTTGCTTTGTTTTGGGATACCATGAGTGAGAGACACTGCAGGATAGGCAACAATATTCTAGATCACGTGCAAAATTTAGCTTCTGTTTCTTTTATGCTTCAAACTGTAAATAACAGAGGCAGTTTTCAAGCTGAATTGCTCTGGGTTGAAAGTCAGCTGTAGATAGGCCGATTTGGATTTCTCTTAGCATAATTATAGCTGGAATATAGTTAAAAGGTTCTTTTCACTCTGTTCAAGTAATTCCTGCTATTGTTAACAACCATTTCATTTTAGTATCAAAATGAGACTTCACCCCAGTTCCATAAATGCTCATTCAGGCAATCTCTTATACTTAACTCTTTAAATCAGTAGGGATCTGTACAATAAGCAGTGCCATTTGTCTGGGGAAATGTTACTGTGGCTGTTAAAGAGCAAGAATAAGATAGCTGGGTCCCTTGCACCACAGACTGAATTGCTTGCTTAGGATCCTTGCATTGAATCTACAACATGTTGCTTTTTTACTTCTTTAAGTAGCTCAGTTGTTATCCCTGGGACATCCTGCATGAGAGAAGGTTTGCAGTGTTTCCTTCACAATCAGTGAGGCAGAAAGCAGGCAGAGCATTACTGGACATATGGAAGGGCCAATGTTATATGCTGTGGATCCAGGGTGTGGGAGTTAGCAGTCAGTCACTACCTAATCTCTTGATGCTACATCAGATGAAGTCCGTCCTGAAACCTGACCCTATTCTTCTACGTTCACTTACAGCACACATATCATCAGGCTCTCAATTTTTGCCCACCCCTTCCTTCCTCAGTTGCATAGCCTAAAAATTGGAGGGTCTAGTCATGTATTGCACCCTGCCCCATTGTGCTCTGTCTTTCTGATCTTTCATTCTCTGCTACATGATTTTATTTTATTTTGTGTCATCGGCTGACCTGGGTGTTGACAGGTAGCCCTTCTAAGAGACATGGCCCTGAAGGTCTCGGCACATGCTGACTAGCTCAGTATCATTCCCCAAGTGCTTTTCATGAGTGGTTCTTCATCTTGATTAGTAATGGCCATGCTGCCATCCTCCTCCTTTTTCCTAGCTTATAACTGGCATCAGGCAAAACCTAATGGTTGGGTTACCTATTCTTTACTCAGATAAATTTTCCACTGAAGTCAATGGGAGTAGAAGTTGTGTAAGGGCAGGCCAAATGGGCACCATCGTCTTGGCTGGGATACCACAGATTGAATGGGGAACGTTTTTAGATAAAAGTAGGAGCTTCTGTATTTCTTTGGGGCTGAACCAATTCAGACCTCTGTGGGTCAGACGTGAAGGGAGACAGTTTAATTTAACCTATGGGTCAGATTATATTCCATATTCTCAAATGAGGACCTCAGGCATCAAAGTCAGGACTTCTGTATCAAAGTTCCCCTCAGCATGTCGGTCTCACTGCCACTTTAAGAAAATCTCCCAGGGGAGGAAGCTGCCTTAATAGCAAGTTGTACTAGCTTTAAAGCCGTATTTGTATTGCTCACACAGCAAGAGTGCTTGTCACATGGAAGCCATCAAATCAGAACACTGACATGGCAAGAGAATAAGGAGAGATAATGAAATGAGAAATTAAGAGCATGAAAACTAAATGCTGTAGAAAAGCTGACACTTCATAATACTCCAAGTGAACACTTGCCTGTATTTCAAAGTCGACCGATAAGAAATGATCTGCTTTTCTTATATAACAGAAATAGATAAAGGATTCTGTTTGGATAGCAGAAGATTCCACTAGGCTGCAATTTACGTCTGAATGCTCAATATTTAAGGAAATTGCTTCTTTCATTTTAGCAACTAGCATAAATATATGCTAAAGAGGGATTCATTAGGAAAAAAAATCCACACAACACACAAAGTCAGCTCAAATAATTCTTTTCTTGCTAGCCAGGTGTTTTGCATCCTATTAGAAAATGGTATATTGAGCTGCAGGGGGCTTAACATATGGTATGCATCATTCCTGCCTGGAAACAAAGCTCCCAGATCTCATCTCTGTTTCTCATATCTTGTTGCAGTTTAACATAATTACATTAGTTCTGCGGAGGTGAGAAGCCAAGTAGGGGCAATGCAATTTTCAGTGCATATAGTGCTACATTGGGAGCAACAAGAAGTGCATGGAATGGATCTTGCCAGAGATGGCTTCAAAAGAAAAATCGCTGAGGTCCTTAGAGTAACTCCTCTGAGAAAACCCTGCTGTATAGTATGGATTAGTGGGTGCACTACAGCACGTATTCACAGACCGGCAGTATGCAGCCCAGATCAATGTCCCTCTTGTGAGGACCAACAAGTGCGTAGTGCATTTCAGTGGCCAAAGCCAGAATCCAAGGTCACTTGCAAGGATGCCTATACAATGGTCAGAAGCCAGAGACCAGGACAGGGCTGGCAGGCAAAGGTAGGAAACCAGAGATTAAAAACCAAAGGTTATTCCAAATGCAATCTGAGGAAGGGGACAGAAACCAGGCAGGAACATAAGGCAAGGCTAAACTGAAACCACCATTAGAAATAAGACAGGGACCAGGAAGTAGCATTGACCCATCCGTACCTGCACTTTTGTGAAAACTAGGGGTGCACCAATAAAGATTTTCTTGCCCAATACTGATAGCTAAGGGGTTTTCAACTTTTTTTAAGGAGAGTACCCCTTCTGGTGGGTACTCCTCTTGGTGGGCACCCCCTCCAGTGGGGTGGAGGGGTCCCCCAGAGGCCAGTCACCGAGCAGGGGGGGGTCTCCCCAGCAGCTGAACTCAAGGCAGCAGCGGCATGGCAACACGGCAGCACGCAGGCGTGTGGTGGCAGGGCAGCAGCACTTCGCAAGTACCCCTGCTTCTCCATGCCACCACTGCTGCATACCCCCTGGGGCATTCCCAAGTACCCTCAGGGGTATGCGTACCCCTGGTTGACAACCCCTGTGATAGCTGATTGTTAACCAGCCATATTGGCTGATAGAGATCCAATAACTGATTTACAGGAATGCAGGTGAACATCTCCCTGCAGGAAAGTCTGTCGAGGGAAAGGGGCATGGGGGAGGAAAGGGACAGATTGAGGACCTACTGTGATGGAGGCAGGGAGTGGGGCAGGGGCAGGGGCTGGGTGTGCTGCCCAGCTACAGCACTGCATGGGATCTGGAGCTGGGGTGGGGAGTGGGCTGGAGCCACAGGCAGCTTGTCCAGGGGATCAGTGTCCCAGCACTTAAAAATGGTAGAGGAGGCACTTGAATTAAAGTTCATTTGATGCAGGAATGGACTGGTCAATGCATTTGATGAGCTTTAGTTTAAGCGCCACCACCATTTTTTGGCATGGGGATGCTTTTAACCAAAGCTGAGGTGAACGGGGCAAGGGTAGACGTATGTTGCCTGCTGCAGGCTCAGGGCTCTCCACTCTCCTGCCTTTGGTCTGGGAGCCATGCTCCCCTTGCCTGCCCAGCAGCAGGAGGCACAGCTCACCACCCCTGCTGTTGCCAGGTGGGTAAGGGGCAAGTGGCCAGCACAGGACTCCTGGGGCAGAGGCAGGAGAGTGGAGGGCCCCAAGACTACAGCGGGCAGCCTGCCTCTGCCCTGCACACAAATCTGTGGGGCACATGCCCTCCCATGCCTCCCCCGGGGATGTGTGCAGCAGTGGGGAGCCACACCCCCTCCCCATCCCAGTGTGCCCTCTGGACAAGCCACCCATGGCTCTGTTCACTCCCTGCCCTGGCCCTGGGTCCCATTCACCACTCTGGCTGGGCAGCACCCCCAGCCCCAAGCCCTGTCCCACTCCTTCCTTCACCATGGCGGCCTCAATCTGTCCCCTCATGCCTCTTTCTCTCCACAGACTTATCTGCAGGGCACCGCTTTCCATGCTGCCCGGCTGCATTCCTGGCCACATGCACGCATGTGGCTGCACACATGCACATGGCATTCAGGGGGCCCAGCTAGAAGGCATCTTATATTCATCGGTGAACATTATCACCTACACCAGTCAAAAAAGGCTGATAGCTGATAATGTTAATTTTCCTTTTATCTGTGCCGATCCAATGTGCGACTGCTATATCAGCGCACTTCTAGTGAAAACCCTTAGATAGCTGAGTTGCTTCCTGTGGGACAGGGAACAATCAGAACCAATCACCATTTTATCCCAGGACAAAGTGCAGCCATCTAGATGTCTACATCCATTGTTCCAGGATAAATCTTAAGAAAGTTCACGGGGTATAAAAGTGCTAAGTCTGTCCCAGGTCATTGCAAACTGTGTTTGAACAGTTATCCTGAACTAAATCTGGAACCAATGGCAGAAAAGCAGCATTGTATTCAGCCACTCACGAAACCTTGATTGGAAAGGTGATGTGTGTACATACCAATCCCAGGATATTTGTTCTGAGATGACTACAGAGAGAACTTCTCCAAGGACAAATCCGCTTCCTACCAAATTGACTTCCTAGCCAATGATCAGAGGGAGCCATTTTATTTCTAAATATATTCTTAGCATCTATCAGTTACCCCATCATCTTCAATAAGCCCTTTCTCAATAGTACTCAAGTTTTATGATACTGAATGTAGGCCCTTCCCAGCAGACCTAGTTCTGACTGCACTACCTATCTGACTTCAGGACATGTTTGTCAGTACACTTTGATCCTGAGACACTGAAAAGAGACTTAACTAGAAGGTTAATCAAAGTAAGATGACGATGGGTTAATTGTTATAGTAAAAATTAAACGGCCTCCCTAGCACTTTAGAAATAAGTTAAGTTTTACATTGCAGCCTGGCATTTCTAACCTGGCTCTTGAACATTAAATGTAAATTAAGCTTGTGTAGGGCTTTCTACCTGGGCATTTGAAATACAAAAGGAAAATATGCACTTGGGTGATTTTTATAAAACTTATTAGTAGCTATTACTTCCATCTCAAAAATAATAATGATAAAGTCTTATAGATAACAGCTTGTGCAAGGAACAGAGTGGTTCAGGGGAATAGGAGACAGGTTTAGAGCTTTTCCCCACTCTATCAGTTCAAATCCACTTGGGAGATTAAATTCCCCCTGAGTTTAAATGGTCTTAATTCTAGATGAAGGGCCTTCTGGGCAGCAAATCTGCTGCTAGGGAAAATAGGTGTGTAAACTAAGCACAACATCCCATCAGTTTGCTATGGCTTCACAATCTGCCTGAGAGAGAGGTAAGCTTCTTAGTAGTTCTGTCCAGGAGTTTTAAAAGTCCTCCCTACTGACAACACCAGAGTCTGCCCTTTCCTGGAGCTGATCATCTATTCTGTGGTTTTAAGACATCATGAAATGGTTCCAAAGCAGGAGTGCTGGCCCTCGATCCAGACTTACATTGAACGCTTCCCCGAGTTAACCCAATAATGAGTGAATTTATGGTTATTCTGGCTGGGAAATGACCTAATTTGCATCTCTCCTTTGTGCTGTCGGCCACACCAGCTTTCTCCACAGTTGCCTGATGGACTTCTTGGCTTAGGCAGACCCGTGACTTTACTTTCTGGACCAGGAAGAATGAATTTGGCTCCTAGTCAGTGATCTGAAGTCATTGTGGTCTGCAAGGCTCTCTCAATGGGAAGCTGCAGATGGCATGAAACCACATGAACAGAGGTAGAGCACAGCTATACTAGGCCAGATGAATGTCTCCTTTATCCTGCACTCTTCTCAAGGGAGTGTACAGGGATCAGTGTTTTAGAGGCCAAGTAAATCTTACTAGAGGAGTCAAAGAAAAATGCAGGCAGTGGACATTAGCTGACCTTGGTTCTGTTCCCAGGTCCACCACTGTTGCTCCCTGTGACCTTGGGCAAAATCACTAGATGATCTGCTGCAAAATAAGAACATTCAAAATACTGAAACTTTACAGTCTCCTGTAAGGATGCATTGTGCTTCTTCAGCAAACAGCCACATAAAGAAATCTGACACTGATATTCTCTGAAGTACAAACCATATAACAGCAACTTTATATGTCAGTCTTAATGGGTGAATCTACACATGCCATTAAGGTGACGTGATAAATTCTGGCACAGTTTGCACCAGAATCAGCTGCTCCCAGGCACACTGTCTACATGTGCACCTTGGGACTGTAGCATTTTGAGCCAAGGTGGAGCAGCCCTGGGTTTGCAGCAGGTTTGGGCTGGGGTCAGCTCCAGAGGTAACAGTGACAGATGACAGAGGGGCTGGCTGGGGCACAAGCTTGCAAAAGTGCATTTCAGCACATGTAATTACTCCTGTTTATTCAGTGCACATAATTACTGGCCTTCACAGTACTATCCTATGGCACAGTTAATTAATCTTCTGCACCCTAATACTGGTACACATATAGACAGTGACACTTCACTACGGAGCTAATTAGTCAACTCCTTAGTAAAGGGCACATGTAGATGCACCCACTGGGAATGTCCAGACAAGTTTACATGTGCAGGGCCATGCACTTCCCACGGGACAAATATTTGTGCCATTGCTTGCTGTCCCAGGGCGTGACCCTGCACATACCTGCTGGCATGCAGCAAATTGACCCGGGTGGGGTAGGGGAGGCTGGGACCAGCTGCCCAAATACAGGCTCCCTAGAAGGACACAGACATTAAAGGCACATTTTTCTACTGGAAACTGCAACAACACAACTGAAGCACCAGAGTACATTTTCTCAAGGCCTTAAAACTTTTCCCTTCATTGCTTCACGGGTGCCTCTTGCTTTTTTTTTTGTGCAAACGAAGCTTGTCATTCTTGCTGGCTCAGGGATGGAGCCAGCTGTATCTGTCGATAGCCGAAAGACAGGAATTTGCCATCAAAGCACCATTTAAAAGCTCCAGCCATTCAAAACATGCACAGCCTGGGCTGGGGTGGGGGTGGGGAGGAGGGTATTATTATGTCTTCTTACTGAGTGGCTGACTTGTCTATATTTAGCTTATGTGCTGGATTGCCAGTGTATGCTTGTCCGATGATTACGAAGAAAATGCCATCATCCTGTCTTCATTATAAGTCAGCTAACAAAGGGCAAATCTTTCATTTGTCCATCTCCCCTGAGAATGCCACAGAAAGAATGCTGACAGTCTGGGTTTTGTTCATTTTTTTAACATTGCTTGCTCAAGATAGGCAAGTAAATGGCAAGGGCTAAAACTCCCTGTACACTTTGAAGCTCCAATTTTGTTTTTCTTCTTTAATGGCTTAATAAGTTTGGAATTTGTTAATGGGGAATGTGGTTGGAGGCTGAAAGAGCCTCCTGCATGTAGCCGTGTATCTTTTATTCCGGGAAAGCGCCGTCTGCGGAGAGGGCTGTTCTCTGAGCCATCTGAATGCCTGTTTACCAAGAGGCAGCAGCTGGCCTCATTGTAAAAGAGGAAGCAGAAAGAGAAGCTACATTAGTCATTTATTCCCTGGCGAGGAAAAGACGATGAATCTGTAATGCACTGTAAACCCAAGATTTGCTGCAAGAAGGCCACTTCTTTGGAAGTACCAGACACACCTCAGAACAAACGGTCTTTGCAATGTCATTTACTGAGTGCACAACAAAGCAGTTTTGCAGTTTTAAATTGAGAGGCATTTCCAGTGGGGAAAGCTGGTGGCAGGTGCTCAAGTCAAAACTGGACATCTTTGTTAAACCTGTGCTTTAGCTCAACACAGGTCACTGGACTTGGTGCAGGAATTGCTGGGTGACAGTCTGTGGCTGGAGCTACGCAGGAAGTCAGATTACATCCCCACTTTAAAAAGCCACCAATACCAGCATGGTCACCAACTTTAGGGAGCCAGGATTTCATCATATGGCGTGGTGGTTTGCAAGAAGTGCTTTCCATGAAGGTTGCTGATGAAGATGGTTGAAAACCTGACACTACAAACATTTCTGTAGCTGCCTGGGTAGGAACTCTCTCTCCTCTCCCATGAGAATTTTTTTGAGATTTGTACAATTTGTATGGCTTTGAACTAGGATAAAAAGTCAAAAATCTTTAAAAAGTTATCATAAAACAAGACCAGCCCATCTTAGTTTCATAGTTGGTAGGGTGGAAGGGACCTGAGCAGATCATCAAGTCTGACCCCCTGCCATGGCAGGTGTACATCAACCCTCCTCTTAAAGCCCCCTAGGGTAGGAGCCAGCACCACTGCGCTTGGAAGTTGGTT